GAGAAAAAGTCAACACCGATACTTGTTACTTATTTCAATGTTTTTGTCGCACTCTTGTCCTATGGTTATCTTAGTCAGCCGGATCCGGTCCATATCCAGATCAGATGGTGGACCTGCACCCTGAGACGACCTGAGACGACTGGACTGACATCAGCACAGATCCTCAGCAAAGACTACGAGAAACAGACAAGTCCTTTGCACAGACCCCTATGGCCAGCAATGAATGTGTCAGGCCAGGAGCTGCTAGGACCACAATGCAGTTTTATCCTGCTTATAGTCACTGTTAATCCAGTCGTCCACTACTGGCTAAACGGCAGCCCTGCTGGACAGACTACAATTTCTCCTCTGATCAAATGACAGCGTGACGTATCCTGTATCCTGATCTTCAAACAGCAGGAGCTGGATGAAATATTCTGAATGACATCAGTCCACAGTCTCACTAGTGATGCACACTGAAATCATAAGCACACCATCTTTGTTCATTTAACCAAAGGAGAGCTGAGCTGACTGCTCCTGGTTTCTCCCAAGCTGTTTTTTTCTTTGTTTCAGTCACCTGCTGGAGTTTGGGTTCCACTGTCACCTCTGGCTTGCTTAGCTGCGGTTTAAACGACACTGAATATTCAAGCATAATATTGATTTGATTGTACTGACACTATTGCATAAAGACAAGACTTGAACTGAATTGAGCTGGATTATGATATCACTGTTTTCTCCACAGCTGCTTTATCGCCAAGACTTTGTTTCATAATGTATTAATTTTGCAATATTTTCACTGATATTGAATTTGATTAAATCAACATCAAGCTGACACAAAGTGAATAATGAAACTTTTGTGTGCTATAAAATTCCTTATGGCTAAATTGAACTAATTCATTCGTAAATGTTTACAAAGTTATTGAACTGAATTGTCTTTTTAGAGGTAAAGTTTCTCATTAAATAAAACAATGTTTTTGTACAATTTGTGGTTGCATTTTATTTTATTTTTTTCTTCATGTAATTACCTACTTTTTATAGAGCGTTTCATTATTACTGGCCAAGGAAAGTTGAGATTTTTTCAAGTTTTGAATGATTTTATGGTTTATTAATATTAATAAAGGGAGACATATTACACTTTTATAGAGTAGTCTAGTCTATATAATGTTTGTTGGCTCTATTTTAGGTATTTCCATAGCTAGTTTTGGCCAGATTACCCATTTTAAATAAGGTATAGACCCACTAAATGAACGGGTCCAGATCGGATCCGGGCCGGATGAGCTACTTCATGAACGGGTCCGGATCGGATCCGGGCCGGATGAACCGATTTATTAGCAGATCCGGGTAGGGTCTGGACCGGATCCGGTCCGGGTCTGTAATCCTTATCTGTTCCGGATCCGTTGCGCTGTGCAAGTGGACTCCGATACGGACCTAGGGCTGGACGATATGGCCAAAATTTATATCACGATATATTTCTTAATTTCAGACACACAAAGATATTTTGAAGAATGCTGGGAACCAAACATTAGCTTACTTCCATTGTATGGAGAGAGAGAGAGAGAGAGAGAGAGAGAGAGAGAGAAAAATCTCAAAATACCTTCATTTATGTTCCACAGAAGAACCTTAAAGAGTTTTGGAATGACATAAGGGCGAGTAAATTTGGTCACAGCTTAATATTTGTGATAATTTTATCAAACAAATGTGTGAAAGCATACCACATAAGAATGAAGATAAAACAACAGTGAAGGGGCACTGGGTTAAAGTTAACAAACTGCGCAGACGACCGTACTGACTGCTCTCGACAAGTCAAGTGCAGCACAGATTTATGCATCGCGCTGAATAGTGAATATATTGCTGAATGACAGTAGCGTGTAAATCGCTTTAGCTGTCTCTTTATCGGACCTTCGAGACGACGCCTCAACAGTAGCCTACAGCATATTAAAATCCCATCAAACAGTACAGTAGATTGAAATCCCGTCAGACGCACAGCATGCTGACATTCATTCCTGTAGTTTACAAGCGGCAGCATTTATTTGTAGGTGCGCGTTCAACTTTGTTGTCACGTCTCGCGATTTACTTTACTTCAGTAGCTAAATAGAAACAAACGCACTTACCATATCACATCAGCAGCACATTCACGCAATGCCTCAACATGACCATGTCCACCGAGCTCCGTCGTCAGTCATAACTCGATAGTACTGACTGACAGTCCTGGTTTTAAACAGCGCATATAGTAGCCTAGGCTACACACAAGTGATCGAGCACCAACAGAGACTTACTTCCTGGTTACAGATGTCCTGAGAACGACACGCTTGACGGAGAAGCGAGAAAACATGTATGCCCTCCTCGCTATAGACGCCAATGCCGTGCTTGTTTTCCTAATTTCCTGATCGGTCAAAAGAGCAGACCGTCTGAAAGTCGAGAGGGAAGGGAAATAAAAGAAAGAACAACCAATCACTGGCGGGGCAAAATGAATGGAGTATTATGCAATGTGTTTATAGAAAATTATGCAACTACTGCTACAGCTGTATAGCCTAGTGTTTATAAGCCAACAATGTATTAATTTACCTCAAGTGCGCCTCTCTCTAAACGTATGCTAAAATACAGACTACTTATAATTCTGTTGATCATTTTAGTTTTAGTTCAACAACATAAATCACACAGTCATACAACTGCTGGTGTGCCTTAAAACTCTTTAAATTATTCACAGCCAAAAATAAATCATAAATAAAAATCAATCAATCAATAACATAAAAATCCACTGATGATAGTGTAGCGAAGTATAAAATCACTACGCCTAAACGTGAGCGAAATCAGGATGAGATGGAAACGGAAAATGCGAATTTGCGATGGAAAATGTGGCCGCAACTTAAGTTGCTAATAATTTGCAATTCCCATACAAGTCTTGAAAAAGCTGATTGTCTTCTTTTAGGGCCACAAACTCAAACTGAACACCTTTATTCAGTTTGGTGAAAGTAAAACGTTTAAGTGTCACCAGAAAGTACACGCTTCATCTTTTACCTTTTACAGTCATTTTCACACTTTAGACCAGGGGTCACCACACTCGGTCCTGGAGGGCCGGTGTCCTGCAGAGTTTAGCTCCGACTTCCCTTAACACGCCTGCCTTGAAGTTTCACGTATACCAAGCAAGACCTTGATTAGATGGTTCAGGTGAGTATGATTAGGGTTGGAGCTAAACTCTGCAGGACACCGGCCCTCCAGGAACAAGTTTGGTGACCCCTGCTTTAGACAATGGCTGACTTTGTAATAGTACACTAGTACTATTTCTGCCAAAAGAAGTGAAGTTACATAAGACTTCAACTTTTTTACCATATTGGTATTTCCTTTAGGAATGCTTAATTAGTTATTTTTCGTTCAGTTAGATGCATGGTGTTATACGAAGTGGATTACATGGATGATCTAGATATTCAGGGCAAAACTGTAGGATCGACATTTGAGCTTTCATCATGTAAACAAATTTTGAGCTGGTTAGGTTCAAAAACACTTGAATTTAAGTAGTTTAAGAAGGAACATATCTACAGATCCTCAGTTGAGCCATGCAAAAAAAAAAATGTAGGTAATAGGCCTACTAAATCTCCCTTATCATTCTATCATTTCAGGAGATACAGCCCATTTCTCAGACAGGATCTAATGGACCTAATGGTCAGAGAAAAAGCCACCCAGACAATTAGTGCTAAACATAGGCCTATACCAACCTGAAATTGTTTTAAATAATGGTTTAAAACTACTTTAAACCATCCCATACAAATTAAAATGAAGATGTCTAAAAGTCTTTGCTTTATAAGCTATTCCACTGTTGAAAAAAACAGCATATGCTGGTTAAACCAGCAAAGGACCAGCTTAAACCAGCATCAAAACATACCTAACCAGCATATGCTGGTTTTTTCAACAGGGACAAAGTTTGATGTGTTCCATTATTAATGTGAAAAAGTGGCACCGACAAATTAAATGCTGGTTTTATTGTGTAACCATTGACTTTGGACTCTAGCTGCTCCTTCAAAGTTCATTCACTTATTCTGTCTCTATAAGTACTGTAGGAAAAATCATGCCAACTATTATGAAAACAAATTAAACCGTTAATAAAAGACTATTGTAAAGGTCAAGAATTTAATGTTTTGTATTACTGCTCATGGGCTTAATCTGCATGTTTTCCATTCCCGTTATGAGTGTCTGCTGTTGGATCACCGGTCAGATTGTTTTGTGCTGGTCCAGGGTCTCTTGGGGTCACAGTTCTGGGAACAGCCTCCTCTACTTGGCTGAGTATGTCATTCTGGACGGTTGAGGAGGCTCTGTCTGAGGGAGATGGGGAAAGATCCAGGACCGCAGAAGATCCAGGGCTGCTTCTGATGATTGAACGAGCTGCTTGCAGATGCCTTCTCTGGCTCTGGCGAACTAAAAGAGAGGAACGAAGAGTACATTTTTAAAGTTTTCAATTGGTGGACCAATATTGGGCCGCATGTCTGTTCTGACAGAGTAAAAACACTTCTAAACGCAGAAATTTAATAAATTCTTACGGAAATTGATATGTATGGATGGAGACTTGGAGGCACTTCAGAGGAAAACTATGCTTTATTTCTAAGCTACACAGTTACATTACTGGTAAAAACATAAAGATACTTATGATAGTGCCACCTTGAGTTGAGCAGGTGTTTATGTGCTTGTCTGGGTGACAGATGGGATTATCCCACCATGTTTGGGGCAATTTACATTACAATTTACAATACTTTTATGGCAGAAAAAGAATGGGTACAGAAATAGGGTTAAATGTAACAGACATTGTGTTTTAGCACAAATTCATCTTTCACTTGGTAAAAGCAGCCAAATCTGACAGATGTCAACATGGACAGGTTGTGTAACATGCCCTCATCTTCAAACCATGTACAAACGTTTAAGAAAATATGACTACATTACATTTGGGTTTACCTGGAACAAAGATATTGTTTATTCCAAAATGTATTTTGCGTGAAGAATTACTGGTTGCAATTAATTATATTACTTGTTTATAAATACTATTAAATAAATACATCAATCAAAATTAATTAATTTCAGTGTTTGATTTTGAGGACATTTTGTTTGCTTTTGTACAATAAACAATTTGTGTACTGTGTTGGGTCGCCACTTGATGTCCAATGGGTTCTAAATCAAAACCAGGTGAGAACCACTGTTAAATCATGTTAAATGCTGATGAAATCTAGTAAATACCTATGTTATGTGCTTTCGAGTAAAAGTCAGGCTCACAGCAGAGAGGGTGTTATGACAGTTTTGACACATTTTCATTTTGTTATCTGATGATGGCCATTATCTGTCCTGCTGAACAGAGAAATGTCACACAAAGACACAATATTATTAAAAGTCTAATTTAATGACTCGTTACTGCCAGGATCTTAGTGGGAGACTCTGATAACTGTCACTGCTTTCATCTGCACCATTCATCAAATTAATTTGTGAACAATGAGCCTCAATTACTTAGAACTTCTTGTTGCTTCTTGTTCTTATGGAGGTTGACAGTCACAGGTCATAATCTACTTTTAATGTATGGAAAGCTTTGTGTAACTTTGTTCTTCTTTCATGTTCCACAGAAGAAATAACATCATACAGCATTTTAGGGCATGACAGTGAGTGAATGTACTTTTTTGGTAAGATATCTTTTTATGCCAACAAATCATTCATTTAAATTTTGTTGTATGCAGGATCATTTCTTCTTTCATCCCTGTGTAAAGTCAAAGTCACCTGAGCAAGCTGTAGAGCTGAGACAGAGTTGTGTGTGCACATACTGCATTTGTATGAACAGGGTCTTTATTACACAGCAAATAATGGATATATGGGGAATTAAAAACAGATCATGGGAAATAGTGAGGATAATTCATTAAATATATAACACAGGTCACATGACTCCCACTGTGATACATACACATACTGTACACGTCAAACTCACAGATCAAGCTTAACAAATTGGTCCTACTGGTAATGTGAAAATTTATAGCATGAAAAGTTCTGCATGAGGCTTTTCAAATATTTTAAGACACTCTTGCAGTGCACAAGAGAAAGCCACAAGAGAATATATATATATATATAAACCGAAGTGCTGTTCAGAACTAGTCTAAAAAACAGTGTTCATTTTTGAATGAACTTTGTTCTCTATGTTTGTGTGATCTGTAACCTCAGAAAGCTTTTATGACACTCTTATATGCCTCAGTAATGGAAAAAAAGTACAATGTTTTCATCTACTTATATCCTCATTTCACTCAAAGATGAAATACTACACGTAATACTACAATTTACAGACTTAAAGCCGAGACGAATGTAATGTTTTTTTCTGCTGGCCCATTTCTACTAACCCTCCAATGTTTTACTTTTTAAATGAATTAAATAATCTTATATTTACATTATAATTTCCCATTTGAAACATGTAACTTTTACATTTGTTATTTAATAATTAATTTAAGATTAATATGTAAAATGAATAATAATAGTATAGATTTGAATTAATTCAACTTATCAATAATTGTAAGTATAAATTCTAATTAATATTTACTTAATTTGTAGGTTGATTTCTCCAAACTGTTGCTCTGTTTGATGACAGTAGTGGTGTAGAAATGACACCATTTTAAATTGCTCTTCTCTTAATAAGCTTGAAATATACTGTATAACATGAGTTAAGTCTCCATCTCTAGAAGAGCAACATGCTACATTCTGCTCCTTAAATCCATTTGTGTTTCACAGAAAAACAATATTGTACTTCTTTTAAATATAAGTAGATAATAACATTAGGGATTAACTTGGCTTGGCCTGCAATAGCTTGGTATTTTACTGATTATCTGCCATTATTGAATAACCCACCTCGTTCTCTGACAGTAATCTTCTGCACCTCAGGAATGAGGAATCTGTAGACGAGTACTGCCACAATCACTTCAGACTGCTGACTGTTCCTCCTGCACGTATACACAGACAGAGAAAAACACAACACAGACCGATTAGAGCAGATTGATTCTGTTTGTGACAAAGGAAATGCTCTAAAACAGCCAATGCTGGCAGCCTCGCTGAAGGACACATAACAATGATCATTGTAACTAGGACATACTACCTCATTAGTTTAGTTATATGCCTGCAAATACACAGTATAGGATTCTAGTGATTTCCTACGGTTGTGCTGTCGCATCCGACATCCGTAATTTAATATTTATTGAGGGAATGAACATATAGACACAGATTTCAAACATATTTGATATTTCTTAGGATGTACAGTAGCTGTGTTTCTCTGCATTTTGCCTGGTAGGATAAGTCGGTTCAAATGTTGCAAAGTTTTTAATCAGGCAGTGCACAATGGGTGGAAGTCGTCCTGTAGACAAATCTAAGCATGGCTTTGTGTATTTTATTTTCAAGACCTTCTAAAAGTGGAAGTGAGTCATCTTACATGCATTATTATATCGGACTTTACTATTTCATCAAAGTCTTTATTTTTTATGGCCCGTCTTTACTAAATAAAGAGCATTATGAATGTATTGAGAGTTCAGGGTTATAATAACAGAAAGCATTCAAATGAACACTGTTTGGGGCTATTCTCATGTGATTCAGACATCCTTGGCAGCTAAACAATAATCTTGAATCGAATAAAACCTCTGACGTACGCAACTGTCAGTGACAAACATATCTTACAGCCTTTGAATGTCAGTACAGGGTTGATAGAATCTTTTCTACATATTGAAATGCAACGGTGCATTAATATATCTTCTTCCGTAACATTAAGTCAAGTGTTTTATTTTGATAATTCAAAAAAATGTTGACCTTGCTGATAAGTCTAGCACGATTTTAAGAGTTTGTGGTTAATCGTCAACAATAAACAATCTAGTTGTGAGATCTTCAAACTGGTTTAATTGAATGTCCTAGCATTCGAGACCAGGAACGTACATCTCCTCCATGGCATAGGTGATGTTGTTCAGCTCCTCAGCCTTGCGGTGAATCTCCTCTCTGGCCTGAGCATCAGCTGTCTGATTAATGGAGCCCAGGATGACATCCTCCAGGTACATGTCTACTGTGTCTTGATGTACCTTGACCACCTGATGTCAAATGAAATACAGACAAGAGATCTCAGATAGAAAAGGAAGATTGCAAAGATGCTGCTTGCAGTACAAAATGAATTCTTGCACATTTTGATTAGGGCACACATTAAAAAAATATATAAGTTGAGTTTTGATTGCCTCGTGACATTATTGTA